TAGAAACTGGGCTTTTGTGCTTTGTCTCCAAGTAAGTCAGGAATTTGAATTGGAGATGACCCTTCCTTGGTCTCTTTTTCTTTTTTCACTGATTCTAAGACTTTGACTTCTGGAAGGCTATGGACTTCTTCTGGTGCTCTAAGAAGAACATGACCTTTTGCTGGCTCTGTGCTTTTCTCTAATAAATGCGCAGATGCACCGCTTTGCACTGACTCAGGTTTTCCTAGCACATGCCCTCCTCCATCACTCCCTGCTTCAGTTTTCATAGGATCAGCAAGCTCACTTTTATTTTTACAATAGTGATCTCCATGGCTGTTAACGGTTTCTAGGGGTGCTGGAAAAACTAGAGCAACTCCTATGTTTGCAGAAGGCACAACAGCAGAGGGAGCCTTGGGTCTTTCTTGACCTGGGACTCCATCTTTGCTGCAGTTATCTACTACTAATAATTTGGAAATCTGGGCTGGGGTTACTTCTTGCCCACTTTCTGCCAAGGTATCTGGAAAGGAATCGCTTTCCTTTACTACTACTTGAAGAGCAGAAGTGGGCAGTTTTTTATAGGCTGCTGATTCCATACCCTCTACAGGGGTTAGCTTATTCATCATCTCTGGTGGTGTTATAGGGCAGGGAGATGTAATATTTCTATTTTCATCCACATACCCCAGTCCTTCAATTTTGTGGTCCCCTGTTGTTTCTATGGGAACATGCATTTTTGCTGCATCTATCTTATTCTCCAGAATGTTCTTCTTGGGAAAATTATTTTTAACCTTTTTACTTTTTCCATCATTCCTTTTATTTGGCTTGTCAGCCACTGCAGTGAGTCCTTTAGCTAAATCTGTCTTATTCTCCTCAGACAATATTAAAGGAACAATTTCAACCCCCTGGATTTGGTCTTGGCAGCTCACATCTGTCACTATGGCTGTTGGTTCAGTAACAGCACAACCCTTGACTGTCACTGTTTTGTTCTCCCACAAAGCCCCTAGCTCAGAAGAATTAGCCTCTACATTTCTACCTTTTTTGTCAACTAATGCCACTTGGGGTGTATCTGATGTATTTGAGAAAAAGGGATTATGCATTTTGGGGAAATCGAGTCCTAACTCCTTGCTTTTATGGGGACTACTACTACCAGCATCTCCATCTTTGTTTACAAAAGAGAAATCGAGAATTTCTGCCTTGCTCTCCATTCTAACAGGCTGTGTGGAATAACTATGTTTCAACTTTTTGTTCTTGCCTTCAATACTTCTCTTTTTAGATTTTTCAGAAATTCTGGGAGCTGCCTCAGTATCCATCCAAGGGCATCTTCCTTCCTTGTTTCTGTTACTGATACCCCTATCCATGGTCTCAGCACCTCTTTCTGCTCGATCACTAGAAGTCTGAGTCATGCCTGACTGATTTTGTAAAGGAATCAACGGCACCTTAGAGTTAGTCTCCTTCATAAGTTCCCCTATCACCCTTGCCTCAGTGTGTTCAACCACGGTTTCTGATGACTTTGAAGAATCCAGCCCCAGTGACTCACTCTTATCCCTAATAGTTATTCCTTCTGTTGTGAAGGCTGGTTCACTTGGCACAAGATTGGCTGTGCTGTCCTTCTGGCTATCCAAAGGAAAAGACAGTTCAGGCCTTGCTCTCACTTTCCCAGAATTTAATCTCACTTTCCCAGAGCTTCCTCTTCCTTTCCTGCTTTTACCATCACCTGCCATTCTCTTTAATGGGTCATTTCCCAGCTCAGGGATTTGACCTAACACCTTGTCCTGAAGCTGCTCAGAAACAAAGATGCTGCTCTCTTGCTTTTGCTTGGGAAAATCTTCTTTTTTCAGTTCTTTAACCTCTTCAGCTCCTTCAGGAAACTCTTTTTGTTTGGTACTCTGCAACTTAGTCATGTTTTCATCATTCCCTTCTTTCAGAGTATTTTCTAGTGTATTACTTGCTGTCAAAGTAGGTATCAAATTAGGCAGTTCTTTTTTTGTTGTGGGTGTTAAAACACTACCTGTAATCTCTTGGCTCGTAATAGAAGAGCTATCTTCTTTGAGTCTGCTTTCCAAAGAAGTTTCTACATGATGTGCAGGAACTTCAGAAAGGGGTTTCTTTGGATTGAGAGAGCTTATTCCATGGCTTTTATGTACAGGAGACTTCCACTGAGGTTTGCATTCATCTTGCTGCAGTGATTTCTTATCTTGTCTCTGTGGTACTGACTTGTCAACTTTGATCTCAGATTCTATTACCAACCTAGGCTTAGAATTAACTTCAGTTTTTGGGAGTTCTTCTGAAGGATAAAAAGGAACTCTAAGCTTCTCTGCAACAAAGTTCTCAGCTACTAGTTTGACTGCTCTAGAATCAACTAAACATTCCTTTTTCAAGTGTTCTCTAGATAAAGGTTCATACTCTGTGCTCATGGTAGTAGGTTGGCTGGGGAGAATACCGGATTTTTTTGAGTCAGCTGCAAAAGAATGGCTTTTAGGTTCAACTGCACTGTCATCATCCCAAAATCCCCCTGCACGAGGTTGAGAATATCTTTTTTGCTTTGGCTTCTTCTTTTTTTTCTTCATCATCACTGGTGTGCTTTCTATATCCCAAGTCTCCCTGCCAACATCACTCTGTGGTTCGAGGAAGTCAACATGACTAGTTTTCCTCTGGTTCCCAGGCTCGCCACAGGAAGACAAACCAGAGACCCAATCCAACTCAGACAAAGAGCAGGGCCCCAGCTTGGGATCAAATGTCTTCCATGGAGGACAGCCTCCCAGCAGCTCAGGAGGGACCCTGGCAGGCTTGGGCCGAACTGACCTGCGGTCACTGGGTCTGCAAACTTGTTTGGCTTGTGTGGTATGGGTACCTGCAATATACGAAGCTGGCAAAAATTCCAAACAAAATATTCCTTGTTACCGTTTCTTTAAAAAAAACAACAATAGATCAATTTAGAGACTCATTTAGTCTATTTTCACCATTCCACATACTAATTTGTTCAGAAAAAGTCACTCCCTTCTGCAACTAAAAATTATTCACTCTTAATTAAGATAAGCAAATATTTATTACAGATCATAGAGCTCATCATCTTAAAGATTTTTTTTTTTTTTCAAACATGACTACAAAATATTTAATCAAATGGAAGGAATGAAATTCAAACTGAAGTCTTCTTTTATCTCCACATAAGAACTTATTGTCTATAAATCTTATCTGGTATTTATGTCTGCTATTATTTTTAATAGGTATATAAGTCCCAATTCTGCAACAAGATGGTAAATCTTTAGAGGCTGTCTTGCAAGTCTTTATAATCCAGTAAACCTAAGTGCTTGAGACAAAAGAACATGCCCTCTTTGTGGTGATGTTTATTAACTGACTGAATAAATTACACATGATTTTGGTACAGGATTTCTAATTTGAAGACTCTGTCACCAACATTATATTAAATACTTGACAACTAATCAAATCAATTCTTGGAAGGAGACCAGAAGGGCAGACTTATTCTACTTCTCTTCTTCTTTTCTTCCCCATCCCCCAATACACACACGAGCAAGCACACACATATACACAATACTGAATTAGTATTTTCAGCAAAGAAAAATAAAAAGTTCTCATCATCCCAGATCACCAGAGAATCCCACTTGGAAAGACAAGTATTTTACATTTCAAAATTCTGTTCATAAATGCACTTTCTAGAAAAAATAATATATACATTATTAAATAGGTTAGCTAAAGAACTGCATCAATTAGGATGAACATTCCTGGAATAGATTTTACTAAGTTATCTATTCCCACTCTCCTTCCCCCCTGTGCCCCAAGTAAGTTAATGCTCGAGCCAGTAAACTGATTTCAAAGAACATGAAAATATTTAAATAGTATCTTTAGTTTCTTGTCTTACCCCTCCAAAGTCTTCAAGTCAGTTACTGTTTCTCTCAAGAACTTTCAAGGCCATAGCACCCTGCAGTATTTATAACACTTATTGGAGTCCAGTGTGATGCTGTGGACTAATGTGCTGAACTGCAAAATTGGTTTGAACCACAAGGTTGCTGGTTCAAGCTCACCAGCTGCTCCTTGGAAACCCTATACAGGGTCGCTCTGAGTTAGAAACAACTTAACAGCACTTCACAACAACAACATTTAGCAATTAATCAGCAGCTATTTGGAACCCTCTCTTAAACTATTTTATTCAATTATTATGTAAATCTTTGATTTCAGCATTTATACCTGAGAATTTCTCTTTCCATAAAGATTATAACAATCTAAGGGCAAGAATCAGGGCTTAAATAAATACCTATGAGCTTTAGTGTGGTGTATTTTGCACACAATAAACATTCTACAAATTTCTATTGCTATATTGAGGGTCACTAAAATAATACTTTAAAAAGCAAATGTTTATTTAGCTCCTATTAGAAGCTAGACAGTGTGTAAAGCACTACAGATTATAAGAGAAAACAGTCAGGCCCCTGCCCTCAAGGAGTTCACATTATAATCAGACACAGAAAAGTAAATAAAGAATCCTAAAGTTAAATAATCATACACTTACATGTTTATCAAAAGCAGGCATTCATTACGTTCATAGACTAACAGAACTATAGGTTGAAAATTACCTTAGTGCAGGGCTAGCTTTAATATATCAATGAATTATCTGGGGGTTCTTAGTAAAATACAGTTTATGATTCAGAAGGTCTGAGGTGGATTCTGAAATGCCTAAGATTCTGCATTTCTAACAGGCTCCCAAGAATATGCATATGTTGTTGGGTCATAGAATGCACTATAACTAGAAAAAATTTAGAGAACAATCTGACCAATATGAGTAAACTGATACTGCACAGGGCAGAATAGCAAACAATTAAACCAGACAAAAATTCAGTGTCTGGAGTTGATCTAGTGGTAATTCAAAAATATGCAATAAGTAGACTTACCTGTCAGAAATGACTTCATGGCATACCTCTGACTACCACCATCATTCAGAGACAATGTCAACTACCATCAATCACTGTTCCAGTTTTAACTGTTTTGAAGTTCATTGTGTTTTCCTAACTTACCTGAGGTCTCTGAAGAAAGTTCATTAGGTTGACTACTGAATTGTTTCTTTGGTTCTATTTTCTCTAACGCAGAATCCTCAGCTGTTGGCAAGTTGTACTTCTGGTCCATGGCTGTGAATAGTAAATAGTAAAAGTAAAAAACCACACAAGTTTCAGAAAATAACTATTTCTGAAACTTTCTCTGCATTTGCCAGAAAATGGAGACAGAATTCGATTTCTGAAGAATTCTGTTAAAATGGACAATAGCAAAATGGAGCAATAGTTGTGGAGCTGGGGATGTTTTTTTACTTTGTCTTAAAGGTGTGAAAAGTAATAGATGCTTGTAATGTTGGTGCGAATGATTCAGTGTTAGGCTCTAATACGAAAAGGCCTTAATTAGGAGTAGGGGCAATTAGATTATAGTAACAGGAGGGAAGACATAGAGTCCATGGTACAATACAACTTGAGTAAATGAGTTAGAGTTTGTGGGTGTTTTCTTCTATCGCTTTAAATATCTGTAAATGACATAAATAAGATCAGCAGAAAATAGAGACAGAGGTTCAAGAAGATAGAGGTGAGACACAGTTGTATAAAGGAGTGGGTCTATGAATAGACTTCAGTGTGTATCTGCCTTTATTTACCTGGAGCGATGTTTGCTCATTATCCTTCTGGAGACTATACTTTGAGAAACAGAAATACTGAAAGCAAGTATAAAGTCATACCTGGTGAAATCATGGAAGTAGGTGCAGTTGGCTGCCCTTCATCCTGAAGAAATTCTAACTGGGAATCTTTAGTTATTTCTTTCTGTGTCCGTGCATGTTCTATGTCCTGGACTACAGCTGGTGCCACGTCTGCTTTTGAGGGTAGTGTGATATCTTTGGTTTGAATCATGCCATTGGCCTGGGTTTCGCCAGTTCCAGAGGTCACGGCCACATCCTTAGACAGAGTTACCTCTGTTTTTGGAGGCAGAGGCATGTCCTTGACCAGGGCTACCTCTTCTGGGAGTAAAGCCACATCGTTGATTGGGGTTACCTCTGTTACTGGGGATGAAGTCACATCGTTGATTGGGATCACCTCTGTTTCTAGGGATGAAGCCACTTCCTTGATTGGGGTCACCTCTGTTTCTAGGGATGAAGCCACTTCCTTGAGTGGGGTCACCTCTGTTTCTGGGGATGAAGCCACTTCCTTGACTGAGGTCACCTCTGTTTCTAGGGATGGAGCCACTTCCTTGATTGGGGTCACCTCTGTTTCTGGGGATGAAGTCACTTCCTTGACTGGGGTCACCTCTGTTTCTGGGGATGAAGCCACTTCCTTGACTGGGGTCACCTCTGTTTCTAGGGATGAAGCCACTTCCTTGATTGGGGTCACCTCTGTTTCTGGGGATGGAGTTACAACCTTGACTGAGGCTATCTCTGCTTGTGGAAGCAAAGTTGCATCCTCGACCAAGGCAGCCATCTCTGCTTCTGGGGCTGGAGTCACATCCTTGGTTTCTGAGGGCAGCGCAACAGCCCTGGTGAGAGCCATCTCTGTTCCAGGGGAAAGGGACACCTCCTTGCCTGGACATATTTCTGTCGATGCTAAACTGTCCTTTGCCAGTGCCATCTCTATTTCTGAGAGTGAAACCACACCCTCAGCTGAGGTCAAATCCATTTTATTAGGCGGTACAATCTCATTTTCTTTAAATAGTGTGAAATCCTTGGCCAAGGCTACCTCTGCTTCTGAAGATAATACTGTGTCCTTATGCAAAGATACATTTGTTTCTGTGGACAGTGTAACATCCTTGTCTGGGTCCACTTCTGTTTCTTTGGGTAGCAGCATGCCCTTGACTATAGCCAAATCTGATTCAATGAATGGGTTCATGTCCTTGGTCAGTGTCACATCTGATTCAGTGGATGGTTCCATGTCTTGACTCAATGCCATCTCTGTTTCTGTAGGTGGTGTTACTTCTAATACTTTTGTGACTGCACTCTCTTTTGTTGATGTAATTTCTATGTCCTTCTCTGGATCTAAGGAAAATTAAGTTAGAAATTTAGAACCCATCGGTGTCTACTGCAAACTCTGTATTCAAGGCTTGCTTTCTCAGTCACGGTGGTATCTCACTTCTGTGACCATTACACCCTACACATAACTAAGAAGCTGTCCAATTAATTAGTTCCTGCCTACTGTTAGACAGTTCTAGCACCCAGAAGAATAGTATACTAGGAGAATACAAACAGTAGGGAGGAAAAGTAAAGGAGAGGGAAAACACAAGTTTTAAAAAGCAAAAACAAAACAAAACAAAAAACAAGTATACAATTAACATTAGAGAGGGAACTTTGTGAGGCAGATGGCCAGTAATCCTTATTATATAAAAGAAAAATACCAAAGTTTTAAATCTGCACTGAGTTAAAGGATGTACTTTGCTGACTGACCCCAAGTTTTGTAACTCAATTATCATTTCTTCAGCTGTGACAGCAGTAATTTTTTTGCTGTTGGTTATCATTGAGTCAATTCCATCTTACGGATACCCTACAGAGCAGAACTACTCCATAGGGTTTTCTTGGCTATAATCTTGAAGCAGATCACCAGACCTTTCTTCGGCAGCATTGCTCATACATCTCAACCACCATCATTTAGGTTCATAGTTAAGTGCAAACCATGTGCACCACCTAAGGACCTGATATCAGTCTTATAAGCCTAAAAACATTTGTCACAGTTCTATAAGTGTTACCTTTATGTGGTGTAAACTGCTATAAATAAAATGTATCTGGCGATTTAGATTATCAATACTACAATCATTAACTTGTTGTTGTTAAGTGCCATGGAGTCGGTTCTGACTCATAGTGACCCTGCACAGGGTTTCTGAGGCTGTAAATCTTTACGGGAACAAAACGCCTCATCTTTCTCCCGCGGAACCGCTGGTAGTTTAGAACTGCTGACTTTGTGGTTCACAGCCCGATTCGTAACCACTACGCTACCAGAGCTCCTTACAATCATTAACTGGTAAGGGATAATTCTAACCATTCACCTTCTGTGGGCTGCAGAGGTTGTTTAACAGACTCTGGGGAAATGAAGGATGCTGAGTATGCAGAGTTTGGAGCTTCCATAGACCACCCCAAATGGACATCACCCGTTGCTGAAGCAAATGCGTCAAAGTGAGGCATACCTAAAATTGAAACACAAAGATTTTCCTGACTCTTGGCCAATTCTAAGGAAAAAAGGTATTTGATATTTAGAATCAGCAGTATATAATGCCATGAAAACAGACCAAGACTAATGAAATTCAAAACAAGAAATTCTTGAAAACCTGCTGAAATTCTTCAGATTTTGGCTAGATATTTAATTGACAATATAGTTACTATAATCTTGTAGAACCATTAATAAGCAATTACTGGCAACATTTACTAGCTGCATTCTAGATTATATTCCAAAGATTTAAAATACCTAAGATTGAGCTTTGGGTTCCAACAGCACAACCTACATAATATAGTATACAGCACAGAACTGTTAGCATTAATTTTTTTATGACATTAACACCTCCCTTTTCAGTATTAAGAGATAATCTTCTGGAAATTTTCTATATATTAATAAGAACAAGAAAGGTATAAAAGTATTATCATTATGATGTCATGTGCCAAAAAAATAGGGGATTTAAAAGTACCTGGTCCCTGTTAGTGAGCTGAAAACTAGAGTCAAACTATATCAGGAAAATAAATGGATATCAACAGTTAACCTATTTAATATTCTTTTTTTCTCAAGAGATCTTCAGTCCAGAGAAAAGCATCAATGAAACATCATTCATTATGATATAATGATTATAATTTAAAACACATTAAGTTATATAATTTAAACTACAAGAGAGCACGGTAGTTCCATACAATAAGTGCTGGACTGTGACTACAACGTTCACAGTTTGAGCCTACCAGTTGCTCCGCTGGAGAAAGATGAGGTTTTCTGCTCCCTCAAAGATTTAAAGCCTTGGAAATCCTATACAAGGCTGCTATGAACTGGTACTGACTTGCAGCACTTAACAACAACAACATAAACTATAAACATACATAGTTTGAACTGGGACTTGTTGATAGGTACCCTGACCACATTCATGTTAAAAGTAACATTTACCTCTAAGAGTGAGGACGCTCAGTGCTTTAACATAACTTTATTTAATCACTGTCACGAACTTTAAGGTAGGCATTAATGCTGGTCCCATTTTATAGACAGAGCAATCAAGTTAGGAAGATTAGTAATTTGCCCAAGGCCATGAGCCAGCAAAATGTGAAGATAAACTTGGGCCCTAGATTATAGAACTGTAAGTCTTTTGAGAAAAAAATTGAGAAATTCTTGAGCTGCCCAATTGCACTTGTCAAAATCAGAACCCCTACACAATTTTGCCTAGTGCTTAACTTCAAAGATGATAGGTGAAGGGCCACTTTGGTCATTTGGAGTTAGAGAATAAACCAAGTGGGAGAAAACATACCATAAATGCCTTTCAACAGTGATCTCACACAATATTTGTCATTTTCTGATCAACTAATTTCACTAAGCACAAACAAAATGAACTCAGCACAGAAATGTATGTGGAACAAAGAAACCAATGGATGAACCTGGAGGACATTATGCTGAGTAAAATTAGTCAATCACAAAAAGGACAAATACGGCATGAAACCACTGTTGTAAAAAGCTAAGAAGAGAGTTTCCTGATAAAAGAAACATTTTGTGATGGTTAGGGGGTGGGAGAGAAAATTAATTATGGGCTAGAGGGTAATGGGGCAGGCAATATCCAACAAGAGGGAGGTTGGCAGAGGAAAGATGACGGTAGTAGGAGACACTTGGAGGAAAGCAAGAGTTAAATACTGTTCTTTCTGGCGGTACACGAAGGAGATTGCAAGCATTGTAACGAAGCAAAGTGTATGAGTTGTTGAAAAGTCCAACTGATGATCTGCTCTGTAAACCTTCACTCAATTGACAATAAAAAATTTAGATAAACAAACAATAAATGTCTTTAAGAGGATCATTTTGTTCCACAAATGCTGAGGCATTGGTTGTGCCACTAGGAAGAAAGAGAAAGTCTGCCAAGCCATCATCATAGTGCATCTTAAAAGAATCTGGAATAAAGAAATAATCCAAAACTCATTCTCAATGAATGTAAAAAGATTAGCGTTCTTTATTACCCTATGTTGACTATCAGTACTATGTGAGTACAAAGGTAGAGAATCAGTTAACACTCACCAATTCATTAGTAATGAAATATTAACATACAATCTCTATTCTAGGAGCACATGGCTCGTAGGATACAAACTGTGAAACACAGGGTCAGTAGTATAAGCCCACTAGCTGCAGTGCAGGAGAGCAAGACTTTCTGCTTCTGTAAAGATTTACAGCCTCAGAAATCCTATACAAGGGCACTATGAGTCAGGACCGACTCCATGGCAGCACACCACCACCACCACCACCACCACCACCACCACCCTTTAAGTACTTCAACATATTCGATTCATTTGCATAAATCCTCCCTGGTCATGAGACAGTTTCTTCCCAAGATCCAGAGAAAGCTATACCACACTATTTTAGTAGTAAGGGTTTTGAAGATTAGGGAAGCTGCCATATTGAGGAGTGTGAATAAGTAGAAAGCAAAATTAAGAAACTGTTAGGGAGGGAGGAGACCTCAGCATCCCTTCTTCAGAACAGCAGGGGAGCTTGAATAGAAGAGAAAAAACAAACATTAATTCTCTCTAGTTCTACAAGGTTTGGGATAGCTGTTGCTTGTTCTGTCTTTCACACTTCTCTGGAGGAAAAGAGGATGCTTAAAGCATCAAGAAGAAGGGGTGTATGATTTACACATTAGGATGTGAGACTGAGTGATTTCTATAAAATTTGGTTATTTATTAATTTAGTTTTTATTGGGTGCCTATCACATGACTGATCCTGTGAACTCTTTATCCAGATGTTCAAGGTCAGGTTTGGGAACACCTAATAGAGGGATGTTTTGTTGTTATTCATAGGACTTTCAATGGTCCACCTCTCCTTCTTCTTAGTTTGTCTTAATGCAGAAGCTCCACTGAAATCTATTCACCATGGAGACCCTGCTGGTATTCAAAATGTCTGTGGCATAGCTGCCAGCATCACAAAAATCACCATAGTAGAACTGATTAATAACATCACGGTAAACAGAGAAAAGATTGAAGCTGCCAAAGACTTCATTTTCTTTGGCTCTGCAATCAATGTTCACCAACTAAGGTGAGCCAGATCCAACCCATGGTAACTTCAATTGTCTCATATGCAGCATGTGAAAGCTGGATAGTGAATAAGGAAGATGGTAAAAGAATTGATGCATTTGAATACGGTGTTGGCAAAGAATATTGAAAGTACTATGGACTGCTAGAAGAACAAACAGTCTTAAAGGGAGTACTGCCAGAATGCTCCTTAGAAGCATGGATGGTGAGACTTCATCTCTTGTACTCTGGACATATTGACCAGTCCTTGGTGAAGGACATCATGCCAGGGTCAATGTAAAAAAAAAAAGGAAGACCCTCAATGAGATGGACTGACACAGCTCAAACTAACAATGGTGAGCACGGTGCAGGACTGGTCAGCGTTTTGTTCTGTTGTGCATAGGGTCACTATGAGTCAGAGCTGATTTGACAGTACCTAACAGTGAATAAGGAAGATCGTAGAAGAATTGATGCCTTTGAATTATGGTGTTGGAGGAGAATACTGAAAGTGCCATGGGCTGCCAAAAGAACCAATAGATCTGTTTTGGAAGAAGTGCAGCCAGAGTGCTCCTTGGAGGCCAGGATGGCCAAGCTTCGTCTCTCATACTTTGGATATATTGTCAGGAGGGAACAGTCGCTGGAGAAGGATATCATATTTGGTAAGATGGAGGGTCAGAAAAAAAGAGGAAGACCCCCAACAAGATGGATTGGCCAGGTGACAGCATTGATGGACTCAAGTGTGGCAGGGGTAGTGAGGTTGGCCCAGGATTGGACATTGTTTCGTTCTGCTATGCATGGGGTCGCTATGAATCTGTTCCGACTCGATGGCACCTGACAACAACAACAACTGTAAAGCCATTTGAACTGCAAGGCCGGAGGTTCAAGTTCACTAGCCACTCCTTGGAATCCCTCTACAAGGTCTCTATGAGTCAGAACCAACACAACGGCACTTAAGAAGAATAAGAGAGGGCTACATTTTTGTCCAAGTCAATTCCATGACAAATATTTAGGCTGAGAACTGAAGAACTGGGTGGTTATAGTCAAGGGGTCAAACTTCTCAACAATGTATTCCCTCCCTTGGTGATCTCATTCAATCTCATAGTTTAAAATTCCATTTATAGTTTGTTGTTGTTAAGTGCTATCAAATAGGTTTTGACTCAAAGCAACTCTGTATAGGGTTTCTGAGGACTGGCTGTTGGGTTTGAACTACCTACCTTGCTGTCAGTACTTCAGTGCTTATCCTACAGTGCCATACCAGGACTCCTATCCATAGATTGTTGTTGTTTGTGAAATATAAGATGTAAATGGAGAACCACAGGTAGGAGGTAGGATAAATGTTTGCAGGGAGGGGATTGTAATCACAGAGATGAAACAAATTGCAGAATGTAAAGCTGATGAACTTGTCTATAAACCTTCACTCAATTCACAATGAAAAGTTGAATAAAAAAGTTTTTGGAAAAATGGAATGAAAAGATAATGGAATTTTTCATGAATGTTTTGAACCCTCTTTACATATATTTGCCTCCAGCATTCTGAATGAAAACAAATAATTTTCTGTTGTTTTTGAAAAATCATGCAATTTTATACTACATTTCACAAAAGCAAAGAAGACATTTAAAAAGTTGAAGAAGAAGAAGAAGAAAAAAAAAGGGTGGAGATGGCTTTATAAAGGCACAAGGAGTCCTGGTGTGGTGCTCTAAGCACTCAACCATAAGGTCAGTTTGAACCATAAAGTCAGCAGTTTAAACTCATCAGCTGCTCCTTGGAAACCCTACTTGACAGCACTTAACAACAACAACAACAACAACAACAAAGGCACAATGTGGCTAGCTTACAGGTTTTCATTAGTGGGCTTAGTTTCAGAATGAGGGGGGTAAGGTAGAATCCCCAATGAATAGTTTTCTTCTTCTCTAGATGGATCTGGTGAAAGCAGCTCACCTGCTTGGTGGTGATAGGATTTTATGATTCAATTGTGAGAAACTGTTAGCAGGATTAACTGTGATTGCCACAGGTACAACTGTAGAAGATGTGCAACTAAAATGGGGAAGTAAATTTTTCATTTCAGGAACAGATGACCCCATGACCATCAAGAAAGAACAGCATGAGTGGGGCATGAGATCCTACCTAGAAAAGTGACAAGAGCAGAGACAGAGACAGAGTGACAGAGGTTACAGCATGGAGAAACAGAGCAACTGTGGGCTCTAGGCCCATGGACTGAGTAAGGATGTTGCCTGCGGGCAGGAGACTGGCTTGCAGAATATGCCCTTAGGACATTTAAATGAACATATTTTTTGTTTTGTTTGCATACATCAAATATTTTCGCTTCATTCATTTGTGAAATATAAGATGTAAAAGGGAAGCCACAGGGAGGAAGTAGAATTAACTGTTGTTGCAGGGAGGGCATTTTAGTCACTGAGATGAAACAAAGCGTGTAACTTGTTGAATGCACAGCTGATGATCTTGTCCATTAACCTTCGCTCAATTTACCATTGAGGGGGGAAAAAAAAAGACAGTGAGATATGGGCCTGAGGGCATAGGACGATATTCTTGGGGGACAACAAGGTCAATTGGCACAATGCAGTCCACAAAAGACTGTGTTCTACATCCTGCTTTGGTGAGTGGTGACTGGGGTATTAAAAAGCTTGTGAGTAGCTATCTGATGCAGCTACTGGTCTCTTCATATCTGGAGCAAAGCACAAAGGAAAAAAAAAGAAGACACATGGAAATAATTCATCCAACAGCTAGAACATCAGCCTCCACAACCCAAAGACCAGAACTAGATAGTGCCTGGCTACCACTAGTGGAGTCCTAGTGTGGTGCTGTGGGTTAATGCACTGGACTGCAAAGTTGGTTTGATCCACAAAGTCGGCGGTTCAAACTCACCCTCGGATACCCTATACGGGGTCGGTATGGGTTGGAACCGACCCAACAGCATTTAACGACAACAATCACTACTGACTGCTCTGAAAGGTTATCATATTAAAAAGTCCTATGTAGAGTGAGAGAAAAATGCAAAACAAAACTCAAAATCATGAGATCAGTCTTACTGGTTAGCTAAAGCCTGGTGAAACCCCTCAAAATATGGCCTTTAGTTACCTTTAGGTCTAGAAATGAACTCATCGCCGTGGCTCAATTTTTAGCCAACCAATGGAAAGGTCTATAAGGGAACACTACCATTTGAGATCAAAAGGGCAACATTTACTCAAGGACAAAGTTCAGAAGGGTTAGGAAAGGAAATAGGAAACACAGAGAAGAGGAATAAATGATGTTACATTGTGGAGATCGCAATCAATGACATGAAACAAAGTATGTATGAATTGTTGAATGTAAAATCGATGATCTCCTCAGTAAACCTTCACCCAATTCACAAATTAAACAAAAAAGACAATATGCTATAGTATAAGGATAAATATATACCTCAATGAAATAGAAATTATTTAAAGTCAAGAAATATAGCCATGTGTCTAACTAAGGTCAATGAATTTTGGATTAAAGTGCCAAGATCATTCAACAGAGAAAGAATAGTATTTTCAACAAATGTGGCTGGAACAACTAGATATCCACATGCAAAAGAATGAAAGTGGACCCCTACACATGATATGTTGTTGTTGTTGTCAGGCGCCATTGAGTGGGAACCGATATATCACATGTAAAAAGCAACTCAAAAATGGATGAAAGACTTAACTGTAAGAGCTTAAACTATAAAACTTTAAAAAGAAAAGAGAGAGATAAATCCTTATGAGCTCAGACATCTCAATGGATTGCAAAATATAACACCAATAGTACAAGCAACAAAAGAAAAAAAGTAGACAAACTGGACTTAATCAAAATTAAAAACTTTTGAGCTTCATAGGACACTATCAACAAAAGGAAGAGACAATGGACACAACAGGAGCTAATATCCATAATTTGCAAATCATAAATCTGATAAGGAGTCCTGGGGTATGTAGGCACTGTAGGATAAAAGCATTGGACTGTGAAGTGCAAGGTTGGCGGTTCAAACCCACCAGCTGGATCCTTGGAAACCCTAGACAGGGTCACTATGAGTTGGAATTGACTAGACAGCATTTAATCCAACAACAACATATCAGATAATATCCAGAATATACTGAGAACGCCTATAGCTTAACAATAAAACAAATAATACAATTAAAAAGTGGGCAAAAGATCTGAATAGACATTCTCCAAAGAAAAAATATAAATGGGCAATAAATAAATGAAAAGATATTCAATATCAGTAGTCACCAGTAGAATCAAAACCTCAGATAAATTCACCCACTAGCATCAAAGAGTTATATACTAGCAAGTGTTAGGAAGGATATGGAGAAACTGAAACACATACACTAATTGGTGGGAATTTAAAAGGGTGCATTTACTTTGGAAAACAATTTGGCAGTTCCTCAAATTATTAATACAGAGTTAGCATATGACCCAGCATTTCTAATCCTAGATATATACACAAGATAAATCAAAGTATATGTCCTCTCTAAAAAAATGTTCATATTATTATTAGTCATGTAGCCCAAAAACTGATGGATAAACAAATTGTAGTGTATCTAGCTATATAATGGGATATTATTCAACTATAGAAAGGAATGGAGTACTAATACATGTTACAATATAAGCTTTGAATTATTATGCTACATGAAAAAGAAAAACAAGACCACATGTTGTATGACTACATTTATGTGACATGCCCAAACTATGCAAATTTATAGAGCCAGAGAGCATATTGTTGTTAATTGCCATTGAGTCAGTTCTGACTCATAGCGACCTTGTATAGGGTTTTCTAAGGAGCGGCTGGTGGGCTAGAATCACAACCTTGTAGTTAGCAGTCTAGTGCTTAACCTATAGTGGTTGGGGAAGATCGGGTGATAAGTAAAGGGTACATAAAGAGTTCCTATTTTAGGATATTAAAATGTACTAAAATTGACTATGGTGATGATTGCATAAGTCTTGTGAATAGAATATTCATCCATTGAATTCTCCAATTAAAATAAATGAACTATATATGGTAGATGAATTATAGCTCAATAAAGCTGCTTTTAACCAATTACCATAGATCTAGACACAAGAATAATTGAAGACTAGTAGCTCTGGTAGCGTAGTGGTTACGAATTGGGCTGTGAACTGCAAGGTCACCGGTTTGAAACTACCAGCTGTTCCGCGGGAGAAAGATGAGGCATTCTGCTCCCGTAAAGATTTACAGCCTCGGAAACCCTGTACAGAGTCACTATGAGTCGGAAACGACTCCACGGCACTTAACAACAAGTATAAAACATTACATGTGAAACCAATCACAAGCATTCTATACATTTATATGGCAATAAAAAAAGTCACATATAAGTGGAAACAAGTAACTTCTGCTCTCAACCTGGCATGGAAGTAGTTATGCTACTGCTTTGGGAATTCCTTAGACCCTTTACACAAACCAACTACACTCTACAAAGAGTTGGCTACAGGTGAAAGGCACTCTGGATCTTCTTACTCCGTATCAGCTTACAATAATGTTAATTATCAAATAATAAACTTTACCTAAGTGTACAATTTGATGAATTTTGACAGCCATGTGTGGTGTTATAGGGTAAGTACTAGACTGCAAGGTTGGTTTGAACTGCAAGAACAGCAGTTCAAATATACTAGCCACTCTTCGGGGACCCTATATATAGGGTTGCTATGAGTTGGAACCAACTCAACAGCATGAAACAACAACAACATATACACATGAGGGAGCACAATGGCTCTATATGGTAAGCACTGGACTGTGAACCACAAGGCTAGTGGTTTAAGTCCACCAGCTGCTCTGCAGGAGAAAGATGAGGTTTACTGTTTCTGTAAAGATTTACAGCTTTGGAAATCTATACAGGGTTGCTATGAGTCAGAATGACAACAACAACATATACACATGAAACCACAATCACAATCAGCAATACAGAAAATTCCCATGATCCCTATAAGATTATTCATTCAATTAATTCCTCCCATTGCCTCCAGCCCCAGGCAACTACAGATCTAATTTTGGTCTATACATATTAGTTTAGATTTTATACAAATGGATGCCTTGGAATATGTTATTCTTTATGTCTGGCTGCTTTCACTCAACATGATTTTGAAATTTCTCCATGTGGTTGTGTTTATCAGTAGTTCATTCCTCCTCCCCCACCTTTCTTTTTTTTTGCTAAGTTGTATTCCACTGTAGGGTTATATCACTCTTTCCTTAAGTCATTCGCCAGTTGATGAACATTTGTGTTGTTCCAATTTGGATTATTCCATTCAAGTACAAATCTTAATATGGATATAAGTTTGCATTTCTTTTAGGAAATATCTAGAAGTGCAATAGCTGGTCCATATGATAAGGGTATGTTTTACCCTTTGCCTCTTTCTTAAAGTGATGTAAGTAAAGTCTTCCTGCTCCTACTATGCCCACCAGGATTTCTATCTGGTTTTTAACTTCTAAAAATCACGTATATTTCATTTCTTAATAGGATGTTGTTGTTGTTAAGTGCTGTCAGGTTGGTTCCGACTCATAGCGACCCTGTATAGGGTTCCAAGGAGCGGGTGGTGGGTTTGAACTGTTAATCTTGTAGTTCATGGTCCAGTGCTGATTCTACAGTGCTAGGGGGAAAAAAAAAATCAGGAATTGAAATAAGATACCTCAAATTCAAATTCCAGTTCTGTCATATATAAATTCCAAATAATGAGTCTTAGTTTTCTTTTCTGTCAAATGAGAATAACAACATATCTGGTAGAGATAGGAAAGAACAGATAAACTGTGCCTGGCACAAATTAGACACCCAATCTATGACAGTGGTGTTGTTAAGTGCCGTCGAGGTATTTTCAATTCATAGCAACCCTGTATAGCGCTTCTGCGAAGTGACTGGTGAGCTTGAGCCGCCGATCTTGAGGTTCAATTCAAACTCACTTTTCAGTCCAGCGTATTAGCCCATCCTGTAATAATTCCTTCTGGAACTAAGATTCTAAGGTACTATTACTCACTAAACTCTTCAAATATATGTATTTCAAATAATTAATTAAAAACACGTTTTTAAGGAGAAGAAAGTAGAGAGCAGTCAGCACCTAAAATGAAGGGATAAATGGAGAAAACAGAGTTATCTTAATGTTTAGGAGAATAATTTGCTTTGGTTGTGCTTTTTGAGCTACATTTAGGTTTAAAAAGTCTTATCTGAGTGGCTGTTGGGACATTTTCATGTTTAAGTCACATTCAACGATTACAGGCAAGACTGCACTTACCAGTCTGGATAGGATTCACCACTGTCTCTGGTTGGTAACAAAAGTTTATATCTTCTGGCCAATTTTGACTATTAATATAGTCCTGATAAGCTATTTTCTCTTCAAGGAATTCAGGAGGGGACCCTTAAAATGAAAACACAAAACAAAAGTTAAAACATATACTTTTTTCCCCACTAGAGTTGAGTTTCTACAGACTATTATATCTGGCACAATACAATCATACCTAGCTAGTGCCTTTGAAACAACTAAAAAAATTTTTTTTTAAAGGCAGAAACAAATGTCAAAACATGAAGTTGTTATCAGGGTTAAAAACATCCATATTAAAATTTCAAATTAATATGAAGGGGGGCTCCAAACAGTCAAAACAATCTTGAAAAAGACAAAGTAATAGGAGTCACACCTTCTGACTTTAAAACTGAAAAGGCAGAGTAGTCCAAGGATAGACATATAGAACAATGAAAGAGTTGATGGACATTTGGGTTTCCACTTTTGGGTTATTATGAATAATGCTCTGGTCAACATTCATATTCCGGTTTTAGTGTGGTCTTATGTTTTCATCTTCTCAGGTATATGCCTATGAGTGAAACTGCTGGGTCATATGACAACTCCAGGTTTAACATTTTGAGGAACTGCTAAATTGTTTCTCAAAATGGCTGAACCAGTTTTATTTCCATCAGTAAAGTATGAAGGTTAGATGTGTCCATATCTTTGCTAACACCTGTTAATACCTGTCTTGTTATATTTTCATCATTACCGATGTGAAAATGAAGTCGTAATTAACTGTGGGTCTTTTTCTTTTAAGTTTTTATTGTGGATTGAGTGAAAGTTTACAGGACAGAGCATCAGTTTCACATTCAACAAATCATATACTTTGTTTCATTACAATGATTAAATTCTCTCCATGTACTATCAGTTAAGAGTATTTCTCTCTATCCATTTTAGTTCTCTCTTTTTAAAAGGAAAAAAAAAAAAACACTCAGGCATATATAATGATTTAAACTACCAAAAGGTACATTCTACAAGTCTGCCTCCTGGCTGCCAGCTCGCAGTCCCTCTCTTCCCATGAATCTAGAGTCCTCAGTTGCTCCCTGTCTCCATGTCCCCATCTCTGCTTTCATCTCTAGTGTCACTGCTTCACTGGATAAGGTTTGGCATTCCGCTTGTGCTCTTCTCTCTTGATGGTGCTAGGGTCCTCTGTTTCTGGACTGTAAGATTTACTACTCCCCCATTTTTGTTATAAAACTTCTACTTTTACAGTCACAATTAGTCATGATAACAATTATTCACTATTGAATCATAAGAATCTTACCCCCATCTCTTTTTATGAGACCCATCTAGACAAGATGAAAACTATTCAGTGGGGACTTTTACCTTCCCGTGAACACTCTTAAACTAATCTCCCTCCTGAAAACTTGTAAGTCAGTCACTTTGTGCCTTTATCGTCCCCTCATTTTAAGTAGCCAATATCTAAATTGCCTATCCCTAGCTACCCTGGAATTTTGAGCTACTACCTCCAGGAGTATAGGTCAAGTTCATCAAATTGTAGCAATTTTCCATTTCCTTTATCAAAAATTGTTGGGTTTGTTTTTTTAAATCTTCCTCTAGTCGAGTTCTGGAGTCCTCGTATGGCGCTGTTGGTTAATGTTCTGGATTGCAAAGACCTCTTAAATCAGGAGGGCTGCTGTTCAAGCTGACCAGCTGCTCCTTGGAAACCCTATACAGGGTTGTTATGGGTTGGAATCTGACTCTACGGCACTTAACAAGTCGAGTTCTGATTATCAAACCATCAAGGCTAGGTCAAATGGCTCTTACTGTGGTTTGGATTAGCATTTTTGTTAATGGTTAATGATGTTGAGCATCGTTTTGTGTGCTTATCCGTCATTTGTAGGTCTTCTTCAGAGAAATGTCTACTTAAATCCCTCACCTAGTTTTTAATTGAATCATGTGTCTTTGTTGTTGAGTTGTAAGATTCACAATCTTGATGGTGCTTTTGGAACACAAACGTTTTAAATTTTGACAAAAATCACTTTATCTACTATGGTTTTCTTACTTCTGGCGTTATACCTAAAAAAAAAATAAAAAAAATAAAAAATCCCCAATCCAAAGTCACGGACTTCTAGTTTGGCACTGTAGGATCAGCACTGGATTACAAACCACAAGGTCACTAGTTCAAGCCCACCAGATCTTCCTTGGGAACCCTATTCAGGGTTGCTATGGGTTGGAGCCAACTAATCAGCACTTAACAACAACAACAACAACAAGGTTATAAAGACAGACAACCATATATCTTCTAAGAATTTTACATTTTGAGCTGTTCCATACAGGTTGTTGTTATTACTGTTAAGAGCGCCATGGATTTAGTTTTGACCTATAGCAACCCAGTACAGGGTTTCCCAGGCGTTATATCTTCGATGGAGCAGAAAGCCTCACCTTTTCCCAAGGAGAGGCTAGTGAGCTCAAACCGTGGACTTGGTAGTTTGCAATCCACTGCTTATCTATCATATGTAGCCACTGTGCTCCCGACATATAGGTGTATGGTCCATTTTTATGTTAGATACAGATCCAATGTTATTTTTCTTCATAAAAACTTACAGGTATCCTAGCACTTATTGTTGAAATGACTATTCTTTTTCGGCTGAATAGTATTGGCATTCTTGTCAAAAATCAACTGACCATAATTTACAGATTTATTTCTGAATTTTGACAGTTAATGGGTACTACTAAAGGTAAGTGGTATGACAGTCTCTCCTTATTACTAGGTAATTCATCAGGTTGCTTCTAGGTGCAAATTTCCCCCTTCAAGGCTGCCCACTATGTTCGTGTTTCATAGAATCATTTAAATCTGATGTCACCTACATGAAGTGGTTTAGGGAAAGAAGATAGAAGAATAATGAAAAAAAATAATTTGTCCTAGATTTAGCATTCCCTTCCCTTGAATATTGCTTCTGGAATAATATCCTGAAATGATCTTATAATAAATTTGAGGATTTTTTTTCTCCTAGATAAAACACATTTGTGGATTTTTAACTTAGTAAATATGCCTGTAAGAATAAAAGGGGTGAAATATATGTTATTTTAATCATCATTTTATAATCTAAACTGCTTTTAAATAAACATAAGAAATGTATTTGCTGAATAGAGAGTAACATGGGCAGCATCCAGCATACAACTGTACAACTGAGAGACTACTGCTGGTTGTTGTTGTTTTTGATTCTTCTATTTTAAGTTTTAAGAAGTGTACCTCTCTTTCTTAGATTCCTGAGATAGATGTACCACACCCTGTCGGCATTTATCAAAAATTTAAGCAGTTTTGTCACAAGAGTCGCCCCTCGCTTTTTTATTATGAATTGAGTGCAGACAAGATCATCGGTTTTACATTCAACAAATCATATGCTTTGTTTCATATCAGTGATTGAAAAAACAGTTGTCCTGTTTCCTCTCTGCAGTTGTTTTTGTAAGTACTGTCAAGTCGATTCTAACTCATACTGAACCTGTGTAGGGTTTCTAAGGAGTGGCTGGTGAGTTTGAACCACTGACTTTGTAGTTCAAACTGACCTTGCACTCCGGTGCTTTATCTCACAGTGCTACACCAGGGCTTCATACCTCTCTGCAGTTACCCATGCACTCTTTCAAACGCCTATTAACACTCATCCTGCCATACCCATTTAGCCTGCATCTCTGTCCATGTATCTACCTGCAAAACACTATTGAGTCAAGTTTGTGTATGTATGTATCACTACTTACACCTCTATCCCCTTTAGTCCTTGCACATCTGTGTCCTTACCTATCGTCATCATTCTTCTGCCAACTACTGCCCTCTCCGTTATCGGAGTTAACATTGTCTACCTTGGAGCCTGGTGTGGTGCTTGGGCTAATGCGTCAGACTACAAAGTCATTTTAACTGCAAGGTTGGTGGTTCAAGCTCATCAGCTGCTCCTTGGAAACCCCATATAGGGTCGCTAAGGGTTGGAATCAACTTGACAGCACTTAATAACAACAACAACCTTGTAGCCAGTGAATTACTCTCCCTTCTCTCCCACCCTGGAAACCATTAAAGAATGTTTCTTTTAGTAAGAAACCTTTTCTCGAGCTTTTACAATAGTGGTCTCATGCAATACTTACCCTTTTGTGATTAATTAATTTCACTTAGCATAATGTCCTCCAAGTTCATCTATGTTATAAGGCGTTTGGCAGATTCATCTTTACTCTTCAATGTTGCATAATATTCCACTGTGTGTATATACCAAAGTTGGTTGCCCAATTCTTTCACTGATGTGCATTTAGGCTGTCTCCATCTTTCTATTATTGTTAATAGTGCTGCTATGAACACCGGTGTGCATGTATCTACTCATGTTCTAGCTTTTATTTCTTGTGGATATATACCAAGAACAAGGATTGCTGGGTCATAAGGTATTTCGACTCTCAACTTTCTGAAGAAGTGTCACACTGTTTTCCACAGTGGTTGAACCATTTTATAATCCCATCAGCAATGTAGGAGGGTTCCAGTCTCTCCATACCCTCGCCAGCATTTGCTGTTCTCTGTTGTTTTGAAATTTGCTACAATGCTGTTGAGAGATGGTATCTCATTATTGCTTTGATATGCATCTTTTGAACAGAATCCTATAGCATAAGTATTGAACTGCAAGGTTGGTTTGAACTGCAAATTTGGCAGTTCAAATTCATCAGCTACTCCTTAGAAACCCTATAGAGACAGGGTTGCTTTGAGTCGGAACCAACTCCACGGAACTTAACACCAGCAATGGTTAATGATTGTGCAAATTTTTCATGTTTGTTGGCTGTCTGAATGTCTTCTTTGGTAAAGTGTCTGGTCACATGTGGTGCCCATTTTTTACTGGGCTATTTTTTCTTGTAGAGGTGTTATAATTTTGTATAAATTTGAGAGATTAGTTCCTTGTCTGATATGTTGTTGCAAAAATTGTTTCCCAGTTTTTGACTCCCTTTTTATACTGTGGGCAAAACGTTTTGATGCACTTAAGTGTCTAATTTTTAGGAGGTCTCAGTCATCTATTTTGTCTTCTGCTGTTGTGTGCTTTAAGTAATCCTGATAGTGTATTTATGTCATGTATTAGAGCCACCTATATTTTCCCTAGTTTTTAATTTAT